TGATGAGAACACTTAATTCTCTGAAGAAGTTTTTAATGCTAGGAAAGGTTATAGGAAAGAAAATGAGGATAAGTAGCAACAAGAAAAATGGACTCAATTATGTATATTTATTTATATCTCTTTATTTTTATAAATAGCTCAAGGCAGTGAACATACATAATATTCCTTCCTCCTATTTTCCCAAAAAGGAAAAAGGGTTAATTTGAGAGAAAGTGACTGGCCCAAAGTTACTCAGCCAGTTTTCATGCCCAAGGCAGGACTAGAACTCAGTCTCCTGATTTCTAGTCTGATATCTTAACCACCAGACCAAATTGGCTCCTTTTATTATATCACCAACTATAGCAGAGGTGGGTTTCAGCAGGTTCTGACCAGTTCTGGAGAACCGGTAGCAGAAATTTTGAGTAGTTCAGAGAACTGGTAGTAAAAATTCTGACTGGCCCCACCCGCATCTATTCTTTGCCTCCCAAGTCCCAGCTGATAAAGGAGGAAATGGGGATTTTGCAGTAACTTTCCCCTGGATTCGGGAGTAAATGGAGATTTTACAATATCCTTCCCCTGCCACGCCCACCAAGCCACAGCCACCAAGCCATGCCACACCCACCAAGCCACACCCACAGAACCGTAGTAAAAAATTTTGAAACCCACCACTGAACTATAGCAATGATGGGAATACTTTTGGAAGACCCGAAGAATGATATTGGGGGCAGTTTGTCCTGGAACTTTATGGTCACTAAGATTAGGATCAATCAATATCCCAAGATCTTTTCCCCAAATGTTCATTTTCAGTGGAACTGCCTGGTGCAATTGACAATATTTAGTGGTGTATCTTCAGAATTAGACTTTAGCTAGTGCTATTTTTCTTATAGCATGTGATTTGAGGGACAGAGGAGAGGAAAGAAGTCTACCTGAGGCTACCGTTTCATTCCAGCTTACTTGGGCTTTTGAACACAAAGAATGTATTCTATAGTGGCTATAGATAGGATTGCAAAAGCATCTTGGCCAGTTCTCTCAAGTTCACCTTCAGATACTTTGGGTTTCAGCTTCCATAATCTTCCGGCTAGCATGGCCATTAACCTGACTCTCAAAGGCTTACACTTTGAGCTGTTAAGTAGTGGTGTAATGAAGCAGGAACACTGGAAAGTGCAGAAGCTAATAAATTGGATATTACGATATGTATTTCTGCTCTTTTGCTTCAGATTAAATCTATGACAAAGTATGTCCTTCAATTTTCAGGGGTTTTCCCTAATCAAAAAGACTTTTGTTTAATTTCTCCAAGTGTTTCAGAACCTACTTTATTCTTGCAAGGAGATGGAAAATGCTGTTCCTTATGCCATTCTTAAGCTCAAAGGGAACAATTCCCACATGATTCCTTTGGAATTTAATTGATTTTGTGTCTGAAGGTGACCAGATAGAGATGATTATATGATAAAAGAAATGATATGAAATAAAGGGCATTCATACATACTACTTGGTCACAATGTTAAGTTCAGTCAACTCTGCAAACATCTGTAAGAATTTCTCTGAAATATTCTTTTCCTTTAAAATATTTTTGAAAGCTCTTCCTTTCATATCAAACTGGACTGGGAGAAAAGGGACTTTCTCCCTTTCTCTTCTAGTTTAGATATGCAAAAGATTTGCACAATTTTTATTTATTTATTAAATTTATTTGCTGCCCATCTCCCCACAGCCAACTCTGGGTGGCTTACAACATAAACAATTGTTTTGACTTTTAGACTATCTTTGGGATGCAAGTCTCCGACGCTGTCACCTTTAGCTATTGCAATACAGAATTTACCTCTAAGATGCTGGCCACCACCTTCACTTTGTTTCAGAACAGATAATAAAAAGGAAGATTCCTTGACTCGTTTCAGAACTGAATTATTTCATAAACTCGTCTAATTCATTCTGTGTAAAGGCATTCTGTAAGGTCACCCGCTTGTTTAATGTTTAACCTATGGGGAGAACTGAATTTTGAATGTATTGATTTTGTATTGACTGGGTCCCAGAGTCCAACTTCCAAGCAAGTATGCTTAAGTGCCTTTCTCCTATTGAAATTAGTAGACTTCGCTATACTTGTTTCGTGTTTCAGTGGTGTTAAGGGACTTTTGGGCACACTGTAGTGATAAATTATTTTAAAGTTATATTCCTGTCTTCTCCCCTCTTCCTAGTTTAGAAAGCAGCTGGTACATTCCTGAACCACCCAAATACCCAAAGAGCACGAGAACAAGTTAAATCAAGGAGCAGGCATCCCTTGGCAAACCCTTGACTCCGCTTGTAAATATATCTGAATCTATTCTGAGGAAATTCTCTTACAAGTCCTATGTTTGGCACCCATTTCTTATCATCCATATTCTCCAGCCATTGGATCATCCTTGTAGAAATTTCCCAACACAGCACCTGGCCTCTCTGAAGCCAGCTGACTGCCCCTCCTGCCCAGCTCAGCTTCCATCTTATTCACCCCGGATAATTGCAGCAGCCATGAGTCAGGTTGTATTAATGATCTATAGATCCCAGGTCACCCATTGCGCTTAAGACTTGGATTGCAACACTCCATTACTATTGGCTATACAAGGGCAGAGCTTCCATCCGTACAGCCATAAATCTAGCCTCGTTGGGCCATCACTCAGCCCCACTCTGCCTGTCCATCTTCACCTGCCTGTGGGTCTTTTGTATTTTACATTTCTAATTAAATAAAATTACACACACAGACACCCGAGACAGACACACACTGGGAAAGAAAGGGCGGAGGGATAATGAATTCCTCAATGATTTGCTGTTATATTTTAAAGGGTCCATAAAAGCCAAGGGTGATAAAAATTGATTTTGTCGTTATCTGCTCCAGTGCTGGAACAGGAAAAGCTGTTCCCTCCTTCCCAGGCATGCTGGTTTCCCCAGCTGGGATTTGGCTATGGTGAGGAGTTACAGCAAACTGGGACTTACTGGTGGGAATGAACAGGCATGGCTGAAGCAGTTTTTCTGGACTAGGCCAGAAACACTGCTATGGGCTTCTCAAAATACCAGGAAGCAGAGATGGTAGAATGCACTGATACTGCATAGATATGAACTGCACACATGAAAGAGCAAATAAATGTTGAACAGAATGCAATGATTAGTTTTACTAATAAGAATTTTATATCTGCTGCTGCTGAGGATGAGGAAGATGGAGGTGATCCTGGATGTACTAGATTCCCTGCAGGACATTCCCTGATTCTTTGCTCTCAATAGTACTCTCAATAGTACTCAGTTACTATCAATAGTAGTAACTGTGAGGGATCTTGGAGTCCTAGTGGACAACCATTTAGATATGAGCCAGCGGTGTGCAGCAGCTGCCAAAAAAAGCCAACACAGTTCCGGGCTGCATAAACAGAGGGATAGAATCAAGATCATGTGAAGTGTTAATACCACTTTATAATGCTTTGGTAAGGCCACACTTGGAATACTGAATTCAGTTTTGGTCGCCACGATGTAAAAAAGATGTGGAGACTCTAGAAAGAGTGCAGAGAAGAGCAACAAAGATGATTAGAGGACTGGAGGCTAAAACATATGAAGAACAGTTGCAGGAACTGGGTATGTCTAGTTTAATGAAGAGAAGGACTAGGGGAGACATGATAGCAGTGTTCCAATATCTCAGGGGCTGCCACAAAGAAGAGGGAGTTAAACTATTCTCCAAAGCACCTGAGGGTAGGACAAGAAGCAGTGGATGGAAACTAATCAAGGAGAGAAGCAATTTAGAACTAAAGAGAAATTTCCTGACAGTTAGAACAATTAATAAGTGGAACAACTTGCCTGCAGAAGTTGTGAATGCTCCAACACTGGAAATTTTTAGGAAGATGTTGGATAACCATTTGTCTAAAGTGGTGTAGGGTTTTCTGCCTGGGCAGGGGGTTGGACTAGAAGACCTGCAAGGTTCCTTCCAACTCTGTTATTCTATTCTATTCTATTTTGCCTCCTTCTGCATGGAAAGTGACTTGCTGAGAAGTAGGATTTCCCTCACTTACTATTGAGGCCCTTTAGCTGCCATTCTCAGCTCATCTGTTCTTTCTAACTATGTTTGCCGCATGCAGAAACACACAGACTGAGGGCTCTGGAAGCAGGAGTGGGCTTCCTGAAGGGACAGAAGCTTTCCCAGGGGTTGGTCTACCCTATTCTCTTCATCTAGCTTGGATTGTAGGACAAGGCATGGATCTCAAGTCCACATATGGTCAAGGTTGGGAAACACTGAAGTGGGCAATCTGCCAGAATAAGTAATATGGAATAATTTTGTTTGTTTGCTTAATTTACTTGCCACCTATCTCGCCATAAGTTTACTTTAGGTGGCTTACAACAATAAAAAGAAAGGAGTGTAAACAGAAGTAAAATAACAGAGCAATAAAATGAACAATGAAATAGAACACAGCGAGAATACATCAATATGATAACCAAAGGGTTGGATGGGTGGAGAGCAGAGTGTGTGTAGGGGAAGTGAGCCTACATCCAGCAGCCATTTCCTCGGTGGAACTCCCCCATTTGGTCCCCAGGACAACCGGCAAAGCCTAGTCTTTAGGCTCTAGTGGAAGAAGGAAGGAGGCAGATATAACCTTAAAAGGTAAGATGTTCCAAAGGGCAGGTGATGCAGCAGAGAAGGCTCTTCTACTGGATTCTGATAGTCGGGAGTTCTTTTGGCCAACTGGATCCAAAGTAGGCCCTCTCTGCCAGCATGAGTAAGATAAGCTTGTTCATTACGTTCCAATTCCAAGCAGCCTTCACTTGAACCAAAGTCTATTGGCAATCGTAGTTTCCTGTCTGGCTACATGAGAAGGGAAAGGAATGCCAAAAAGAAAAAAAAAAGTTGGTGCTCAAACCCCACCCCCTTTTTTTCTCCAGTCCAGCTGGAGTCCAGCTTCCTTCAGCTCCACTCGCCATCAGCAATGTGCAGCAGGACTCTCAATCAGAAAAAAAAAAAAAATCACGTTTTCCAAATCATAATTTGCTCAACTCAACAAACAACAAAAACCAGCGAGTTGCAGAAAGACCGCATTTTATTAGAATAGCTGCAACATGTCATATAAATATAAATATAAATATATACATATATATATACACCCTATACATAGACTTGGGGAAAGGTCAAGGCTGGGGGAAAGGGTGATTATTGCTCTGAGCGGCTATTATATTTAGTGGGGGGGAAAAACCCTCAACTGTTTAGGAAAAGGAAAAAAAAAAAACAGACGAGGAGAACACAAAGCCACAAATGCAGGTAACAATGAAAAGGATTTCCAAAAAAAATGTGAATGTATAGCTATCAAACCTGTGCTGTGAGTGTTTAGTTGTCTGATAGATGGCAGCAAAGATACAAAAAAAAAAACCTCTAACTCTTTGCTACCATCTAGTGGTCATTTTGACTTCCATCCTGGATCTGATAGCTGTTCAGGCATGAAGAGGCATTTTGTAGCATTATATCTTCAAAAGGCACAGTCCTTAGAGAGGCTTTGTCTCTCTCTCTCCTTCTGTATCGATACAGCAGGATCTGGATCTTACATTCCTCTCTTGTGACTCAAATGAGAGGTCAAAAGGCAGAAGCAAGAAGAAACTGCAACCCACCCATCCCACCTCACAAATAGAAGGAAGCAAATGCAAAATTCAGCAAGTGCCGGAAAGGGAATATATATACAAGGGTTATGATATCAAAAGAGAGGCAACTAAAGCCAAAGGCGCTATCTCACAGAAAGGAGACACATGCATCAGTAGTCACACGGCAGCAAGTTGAGAAAGAAGCAATAGATTCAGCACAGCATTGGGAAAGAGCAACTTAAGAAAAGAGGTGAAGACAAAAAAAACCAAAAACAAAATAAAAACAAAACAAAAACCAAGTCTACTTAAGGAATTGTGGCTGGTTGGGAACCACCTTCACATTTGCCCCCTTGCACTTGTCTCTTCTTGTATGTCTTGGATCTCATTTACTCATGTAGCCCTATCATGATTGACAGCTTCTTCTACAAAGAACCAGATCAAATTACTGATGCCATGTCTCAGGTTCCAGTGCTCCTCCAAACTCTCTTTACAACGATGTATTAGGTGCATTATCCTAGAACCTTTCCCACTGTCATCCTGCAAATTGCCATTATTATTATTATTATTTTGCACAGAGGGAGATATGTTCACATCGGAACATGTGAACATAGGTTCCCTCACTTGCAGTTTAAAATGGTGCATTCCAACTCCTCTCCTGCGTGAGCTGCACTGGCTCCCGGTGGTCTTCCGGGTGCGCTTCAAGGTACTGGTTACCACCTTTAGAGCGCTCCATGGCTTAGGACCCGGGTACTTACAAGACCGTCTTCTGCCACCGGTAGCCTCCCACCGACCAATACGCTCCCACAGAGAGGGCCTCCTTAGGGTGCCGTCGGCCAGACAATGCCGGCTGGCGGCCCCCAGGGGGAGAGCATTCTCTGTGGGGGCACCTACCCTCTGGAACGAGTTGCCCCCAGAGGTACGGCAGTATATAAATATAATAAACTATAACTATAACTATAAAGCCTCAGATTATGCCTCCATGGGGGATTAGCTGCAGGTATTGTCCAAGAGACGGAATCCTTGCTGGAAGAAAGATACTCATGGGTGGGCCTCTAGATGCCTACCAGTCAGAGCTAGCATTGCATATGGATGCATCCCCAGTGCCTCACCCGAGGTTTGCACCAAAGGCTATGATTTGAAGGGGGAAGGATACTTGAATTATAAATCATGTGTCAGGGAGTAACTACACATCCTCAACAGTTCAGAACTGTAGGTACAATGCAAACAACAACAACACGTTTTCTAGATTTTAAGGCAAAAGAATCTGAATAGGACTGGCAAAGTTGCTTTAACTCTAATCAATGAGGTTTTGCATACCAGGCAGTTGGTGTTGGCACTCTTCATAACTTGATCTTTGGCTATTTGTAGAACATCCCTGCTCTTCACATCATTTAACTCCATTTTCTGCCTTTTTCTGCTATTGACATTCTTTGCTACATTGGATTTGTGTTATGATGAAATTTGTGCAAATATAAATCTATTGTATATATTTGTGCTAATATAATGTATCATATATTTTTGTGCTAAATATATACTGAGTAATTAAGCTAACCTGGGACTCTATATCTTACAATAATTTAATTTGGTTTTTCTTCTGAAACAGATACATTTGCTATCTTTTATTCTGGAAGCATAATTTATTTTAGTATGAGCTGACTTGCATAATGGGGCTAATTTATTCTATGGTGAGAAAATGAAAATCTGGAGCCAAAGCACATTTACGCACAGCTATGATCAAAAGCATCGAGATAAGCATGCTTCGATATTTTCTCCAGGTGAATTGTCCCTAGCTCAAAAATATATGTATTTCTGCTTAATACTAATAACACTAATGTCGTGGCAAAATGCTATTCCTGTTGCTAATTCTTAGGGTGAATCATCTGATCAATTAATTACATGCTGCAAAGTTCTCATGCAATAGCCAATGCAGTGTTCGGTTGTTACCAGTTCACCCTGGTTTGGGTGAACTGGTAGCAGTGGCAGCGGGAGGCTCCTCCCACCCGCCCAGATGCTGTTGCGCATTCGCGCGAGCACCCACAAGCAAACCGGTAGTGATGGGTTTTGAAACCCGCCCCTCAGCCAATGCTATTTTTTCTGTTCTTTATTCATTTTGGTTCCTTTTGGAAGGAAAATGCACTGATTGCTATTCTGGTGGGAGATAAAGTTAACTTGATTAAAACCACTTCAATTAATTTCTGATTTAAAGATATATCTTACAAATATCCTTCCTCACCCCTTTCCATTCCTTGAGAGAAATGGCAGTTACTGTACATTACTGTAATGTCCTTGTCCCTTCTTCTTCAGTTTAAATAGTAGCGTTTGAATATTTGAGAACGGGAACTATAATAGAATAATCTTGCCTTTTGCTATTTATGTAAAGGTAACAGCCACATTTAGGAAAGTTATTGATCATGTTTAAGGGAGAAAAACAACCTTGCCTGTGAATTTGTATAATGTTGTTCTCTCGTGGTGATGAGATATGCAGAAAGAGATTTTATGGAATCTCTTCTCTATTTTATTCTAATTTACATGTCTGTGAGTATGGTTGCTTTAGCTTTTATTTTAAAAAGCCCACATACAATGCCATATAATATATAAATATAAGCAATAAAATCCTTTGAGGTTTTGTTGGAAGAGTTACCAGTAGCTAAACCAATAAATAGACAATCCGTTCGTTTGCATTTCATTTGTTCTCTTTCTTTTTACATACTGAGGAGTTAAACAATAGGTGGGCCAAGCTCTCATCTGCCACGGAGCTGTTCTATATTTAACACTGAGAAGAGAGGGGAGCACTCTCAACATGTATACATTTTTGCCCCCCGACTCTTTTCCCCAAACACTTGTGTTGTAGATATAAATTCACCCAACTATTTATAACCAAGGAATTTACATCCTTTATTTGAGAACTTCTCAAATGCTGACTTTTGGCTTATTCCAGGGGTACAGAGTCTGTACCTCCCCAGATATGACTGGATTCCAGCTGAAATCAGCCACAAGGACTCTTATTAGACCTGGAGGCCAGGAATCAAGCAGTCCTTATAATAGGAAAACCAGATATGGTGCTGCATGGTTGACTGGAACCTCAATACCTACACAACTTTTAAAGGCCTTCCTTTCCCATTCATCTCAATACGGCTGCTATCAATAAGGAAACTGAAACCTCTTCTTCTGTCTCCATTTGCTTGTTAATGAGCAACCCAGGTGGTCCAGTGGTTAGAGGGCAGTATTGCAGGCAAACTCTGCCCACAGCCTGGAGTTTAATCCTGAGGGAGCTCAATCAGCCTTCCATCCTTCCAGAGTCAGTATAATGAGGACCCAGGTGATTGGGGGCAATATGCTGACATTGTAAACAGCCCAAGAGAGTGCTGTATAGCTGTAAACCACTATTGGGGTGGTGGTGGTAGTGTAAATAAGCCTATGTGCTAAGTGCTATTATCATATCTCACTTGCAATTGCTCCTGACTTTCTATAAAGTCTACAGAGTTCTTTCAGGGCAAAGGTCAGAATATCATTACCTTCCATAGTGAGGAGTTCTGATGGTCACTGAACAGTGTGAAAACAGCTGATTTCCTTGCACGGCATAGGGACCCCTGACTTTCTTGCAAGGCATAGGGACCCTAAAGCTTCTGGGCATATGCACAGGGAGGACTTACTTATTATTTGATGGGTTTTGTGGATACCAGCATTTTCAAGAGTTTTGCAGCACCGATTCACTGGCAGGCAAACAAGAAGGCAAAGTCATTGTGGATCTCTGTAAAAGATCACACAAAATGCCTGGACAACTACCGCTCTATGGCGATAGACAGCCCATCCTGCTACTGTTTAATCTCACCTAGTCCCTATCCCTGAGGATACAACTCCTGATGCAAGATGGCTCTGACTGTTCTGCCTTGGAAGACAACAGTGTTTTTTTTTTTTACAGCCGTCAACCCAATGACAGAATTGTGCTAGAATAATTCGTTCTTTTTAAGAAACTCTCTATGGAAGCAAGAAGAGAGGGGAGGAACCAGCCTGAATCCTATTGAAACGACAGAAGGGAGGGAGGGGGAAACAAGGAGGTGCATGATGATGGTGATGGAGACAAGAAGCTTATTCAAAAGTAAAGGGGTCGTGGGTGCTGAAGAAGAAGTGCCCGTCCACATGCGTATCAACAGTTTCCTTGTCACTCTCAGGTGGGAAGCGCTCGTGGCAGATGGGACACTCCTTCCAAAAGCCTGGAGAAGGCAGGTCCAAGGGAGATGCGCCCATTCCGGATGGTTCTGACATCTGCCGCCCTGTCAGCCCACTGAGCATGGAGGAAAAGTATGGGAAAAAGAGAGAGAGAGAGAAAAAAAATTAAAAGGAGCACTCAAAAATTGAAATTTAATAAACTGATCTTCTGAATGTTCTCCCGTAGAAATCATTGTGCAAAACCAGAGTAGAGTGAAGAGTTGCTCAGGCAGTCATTGTCCAAAATGCCTAGAGTCACAGAATTAAGGTCAGTGAGACTTGACCTCCAGTGTAGGCCAAGATACATTCATCACAAATGAAGGCAGGGGAAAGGTTTCATCCTCCGGACACACAGGGCCCCTTAAGCTAAACAAGTCCTTCACTAAGCATATAGCTTAACACCTGTGGCAATCAGCAAGGAGAGAGAAGAAAAGCAGTGGAGGGGGAAAAAAAAAGACACCTGTAAGTGGGAGGCTTAGGGGTGCAGAAAAGATGGGAAGGAAGAGGATACGGAGACAGGATGAATTTACAGGACAGAAAAATGGGCAGAGGAAAAAGGAGCTTACATACCAAAGAATCAGCTTTTATTCTGAAAAAAATATGGGAAACGTTGATCTCAGGTTTCCACAGCTAAGGCTGTGTATATTCTCTGAGTCATTATATATATATATACAGTTTGGCTGTTAGACAATCCAGACTGGCACTCTGGGCGACTGGAAGATGAAACCCTTAATTAAACTGGGTACATTTGCATGCATTTCTTATTTTGTATAATCAGCATTTTCTTTCTTTCTCTTCTTTTCAAGCCATGACCTGTCTGGCTTTGCAATTTTTACGAAGTGGCTAAGGAGGACTGCAGATGACCGAATTACTGGAACCCTAATTTGGCCAGGTCCCTCTGGGTTCTGAACTTTTGACAGGTACCATCTAGAAAATGTTCAGATGTTGCCGATAACACTTTTCCTCCCCTCACCCATGAAGAAAGCCAAGATTCTTACAGAAATAATTGCAGTTTCTGTATTTTCATCTTATTCTTCAGCATACTCCCAAATCTGGCACTTGCCCAGAAGGTGGGTGCCAGGAGTGATTACAGGTATAGTCCAATACATCCAGGGGTGGGATCCTCCTGGTTGAACAACCGGATCGCTGATAGCGCACGCGCCAAATGCGCACTGTGCAGTTTGCATAAAATTGAACTTCCGTGTTGCAGACAAGGAAAGGAGCAAGGAAAACAGCTGAGGAGGGCCAATTCAATCTGCCGCCCCTGATCAGCTGGGCTTCAGAAGAAGAAATAAAGATCAGTATAAATCGGGGGTGGGTGGATGGGCCCACTTTCACAGCAACAGAGAACTGGTTCGCTCTCAGTAGGAAGTGGGAACTACCGGTTCGCTTGAACCGGTCCGAACCGGTAGAATCCTACCACTGAATACATCTGAGAGAGGACAAGGTTGAAGAGAAAATGCAGTACAGATGGAATAACTTTCCCTCACCTGGCCACTTCACAGAAGCCATTGCCCAGATCTGGAAGGAGTAGATTGGTTTCTTCACCACCACTCTGAGCAGCTGCCATAAGAACTGCCTTCTCATCTTCAGCTTCCTGCAAATAGAAAGAGAGGCATGTTTTCAGTATGTTTGACTTTGGCTCAGGCTCACGACAACTGGCCTTTTCTTCCTATGCGGGAGGGCACCGCAACTCCTATGCCTCGATAGTATATGCATGCATACAGAATCCTCCTTTCAGGACACCTAATTTGCACAGAAAATATCTAGGTTCAATCTCTCCAGCTAAAAGAATTATGGGAAGCAAATGAAGGAAAGTCCTTTGCCTAAAATTCTGGAGAGCTGTAGCTAATCAGGCTAAACGGCATCGGAAGATGGGTACAGACCCAGGTCAATAGGCACTTCTCTTGGTGCTAATCGCATTTCTTGTCCCTTTTGGATATTATTATTGTTTCTCTGAATTTACAAAATTGGAAGCTGGTATCACGAAAAGTAAGCACATCAACCTTTAGTGCAGATGTCCATGCGTGTATACACACACACACACACACACAAACCGATAATGCCCCTGGATCTGACAGACACTGAGAAAATAAAAATGATGAGTAGCTGTAGACCTGCTATTTTCCTGCCCACCCCCCAAAAAGATAAAAAAATAAGCCAGTGTGATAGGAAGCATCCTTTAAGAGAGGCCAGTGGGTTGATGGGCAGCATTTTTAACACGTCATCTTCCTAGTGATTATGCTCCAACAGTAAACATTTTGTGAAAGTGCCAGGCCTCCTTCGAGGATTCCATGGCATCAAGGCACTCACAGTATGCTTTCAAAACCTTAAAACAGGTGTCCTATCCCTGGGCTAGTTCATCTCTTTGCCTGGATCCCCAAAGCAACTCTTTCATCCTTCGCCTAGGACAGCTATATGCAGGCTGGGCTAGGTCCTTCCTTGCTTCTCAGGGCCTCACCGAGTCAGAACTGGAATCCTCAGGCAGCTGTTTGATCTGACTAGCAATAGGAGCAGGCTGGCTGATCACCACTGTGTGAGATAACCCATGGGCACAGGGAGGCGTGGTGGTCACTGCTCGGGTGTCACACAGGCTGTAAGAACTGAGCTGGGTAGGCAGGCGCATGTCCTCAGGGCATTCGTCCTCTGAATCAGACAGGGAGTCCAGGGAGCCTGGAAAATGAAAGTGAAGGAGATGGCGTTAGGTGTATGTATGGGTGTGTGTAAAAAAATCTCTCCCAGAGAGCAATGATGCTCCCAGTAGAGACTGACCTTGCAGAGAAAAACATTGCTCAGTTTGCTCTAGGGCAGTTTGCCTTAGCCTCCTATTGGGGCTTGAACCTGAAACTGGATATCTCCTAGGAAGGAGATAAGGACAAACCATTTCTGAAAAACCTTGCCGAAAAACCCGCAGAGACTTCGCTGGGCAGTTCTCAGGAATCAATGCTGACTTTATTTTTATTTTTTATTTTTATTTTTGTTTATTTTTATATGCCGCCCTTCTCCGGAGACTCAGGGTGGCTTACAATGCGTCAAGCAATAGCCTTCATACTTTTGTATATTTTATACAAAGTCAGCTTATTGCCCCCACAAACTGGGTCCTCATTTTACCCACCTTAGAAAGGATGGAAGGCTGAGTCGACCTTGAGCCTGGTGAGAATTGAACTCGCAGTAATTGCAGGCAGCTGGATGTTAAATGCTGCCTTAGTAGGAGGTATTAGCCTCCTACGCCACTCAGGCTCCTCCTTGCCTCAGACTTGAAGGCAAGAAAAGTAAAGAAAAAGAAAAAGAAAAAGGAAAAGAAAAAGAAAAAGAAAAAGAAAAAGAAAAAGAAAAAGAAAAAGAGAAAAAGAAAAGAAAAGAAAAAGAAAAAAGAAAAAGAAAGAAAAAAAAAAGAAAAAGAAAAAGAAAAAGAAAAAGAAAAAGAAAAAGAAAAAGAAAAAGAAAAAGAAAAAGAAAAAGAAAAAGAAGAAAAAGGAGGACAGTAAATATTTCCTAATGTGCTTGGCATGGATTTGGGGAAGGGAAGCAAAAAGCTCTCTTTTTGAAAGTTCCTAGGAAAGGATGTTCCATCCACCCAGAAGAAATATCTCACAAAATCTAAAGTCTGACTTTACAGCTTCATTATGGAGTACTCCAAAGAGTTCCCGCAGAGTGAGAAAAGAATGGAAGAATTACAAAGTGCACCAACAGAGAGAATAGATTTTCCCAGTTGTGGCCCTAACAACCAGGGTAGTAAACATTTAGTACTCAGATATTGCTGCACTGCAGCTCCTGTCATTCCTCATCATCAGCCACGGCAGTGGTGGGTTGCTACCGGTTCGGGTGAACTGATAGCGGCGGAGGCTCCACCCACCCACCCACCCGGATGCTTCTGCGCATGTGCAGAAGCACTGTGCATGCGCATGAGCGCACATGCACGAGTGAACCGGTAGCGACGGGATTTGGAACCCGTCCCTGGGCCACAGACTCATAGGAATTAAAATCAATCAACCACATATTGCCCATTTCAGATTAAATATGGGAAGAAAAGATTTAGCTGAACAAAATTCTGGAGAAGCAGCTTCAACCTCAAGGTAAACTCCATCAAGATCCCTGACCACTTTGTTCTGAGTAAGTTTAAGGATGCTTGAAAATTTAGATTCACAAGGCTAGTTTTAGAACTCAACAATGTCTGTTGATCCCTACATTTTTATAATTTTTTGCCTTTGTCACTGATAGCATGGACCGGGCTCACTAAACATACCGTATTTTTGGGACTATAAGTCGCACCGGAATATAAGACGCACCAAGATTTCGAAAAGGTAAACAAGAAAAAAAAAAAGGTTTTGCCCTCCCCAGCCCCCAGGAGCACTCTGCAGAGCTCCCAAACCCTCTGCGCATCCTGTTTTTGTGAAAAACGGGCCTGTTTTTGGCGAAAACGGGACAGGGTTTCTGGAGGCCAAAAATGGCTGTATTCAGTGTATAAGACACACCAACATTTCCACCCTCTTTTGGGGGGGCGGGGGGGGGGAAGTGCGCCTTATACTCCAAAAAGTATGGTAATTGGCAGGGCTGCCAGCTGATGGTGGTGGGACTAACCAGGAGTATCCAGAGCTCTCTCCTCTTCGTCAATCAGAACTGATTCACTCCATTTCTCATCTGCTACTTTCTCCAAACGTTCTTCAAGGCGGCGTATGTACACCAGCAACTCCTGAAGGCAGACAATGGGCAACAACACATCAGCATTAAGCCCTGAACTGCAGTGCGTTCCTCCTCTCACCACTTCGTATCTTCTTCTCATGCTAAATTCAGGCTATGGTCGGCCTTCCTTCCCTCCATTTGGATGCCACACCAACCTGTTTTTCGGACTGCAGTTGTTCTTTCTCCTTCTGGCCAACCTGCAGGGCGGCCCGCAGTTCCCGTAGCTCGCGGCGGCTCTCAGAGACTTGAACCTGATGAGGGCAAACGTGACATTTGCCAAAGCAGAATTTTAGAATAACATGTATAGAGTGTTATGAAGCCCACTAGGGAACTAAATACAGGTAGTCCTCGACTTACAACAGTTCATTTAATGACCGTTCAAAGTTGCAACGGGCACGGAAAAAAGTGACAGGATCATTTTTCACACACACTGCAGCATCTCTGTGGTCATGTGATCAAAATTCAGATGCTGGTTCATATTTTTATGATGGCTGCAGTGTCATGTGATCAGCTTTTGCGGCCTTCTGACAAGCAACGCCAATGGGGAATCCAGATTCACTTAACAACCGTGTTACTAACTTAACAAATGCAGTGATTCACTTAACAACTGTGGCAACAGAAGTCGTAAAATGGGGCAAAACCCACTTAACAAGTGTTTCACTTAGCCACATAAATGTTGGGCTCAATTGTGGTCGTAACTCAAGGACTACCTGTAGTTAATGCTCATGCCCAATGCTGGGATTTGAAGAAAGCTCCTTTCCTTTTTGGAAAGCTCTGTCCATTTTCTAGGGCTTCTATTTTATTCATGGGGCAGAGCCTCCCCTTCATCACTGGCCAACTCCATTTCCTAAAGGACTGTTTTGATTTATTGTCACAGTGCACTCGCCTCTTACAGCAGGCCTGCATAACCCGGAGAGGGGAAAGGGCCACACTGATGAATTAAAAATATTTGTGGGCCGCAAAGCAATACCTGGTGGGCCAATCAGCTGCTAGTAGAGAGGAGGCAGCGCTTGAACAAAGGGTAGCAGTGAGGCCCGAGGTGCTCAGCAACACACCTTTCTGGATGGTAGTGAATTTAATGACTTTTTAATAAGCAGCATCAAACCACACAAGGATGTTTGATGAGCCATGTGTTGTCCATGGTCCTTATGTGGTCCAGCTTTGTCTTAAGAGATTGTGCCAGCAAAGGTTTAAACAAAATAAGAGAACTGGCATGCTGGATCCATTTAAGCCTTTCCTAACTTGGTGGTCTCCTGATACAGTGAGACAACAACTCTTTGACCTCCTGGCCAGGATGGTCAAGACAGATCTAAAGGAGTTGCAGTCTAGAGAGCACCCAAGTTAGGAAGACCTATTCTGTAGATGCACCTAACCAAATAATCGGATATACAGGACTGTTGAAGGTCTGCACAAAAAAATTCTCAGGGAGGACTAAGGATGGTCAGTGACAACAGGATAAGGTAAAGGTAAAGGTTCCCCTCGAACGTGTGCTAGTCGTTCCTGACTCTAGGGGGCGGTGCTCATCTCTTTTTCAAAGCCAAAGAGCCAGCGCTGTCCGAAGACTTGTGGCTGGCATGACTAAACACCAAAGGTCCACGGAATGCTGTTACCTTCCACCAAAAATGGTCCCTATTTTTCTACTTGCATTTTTTACTTGCTTTCGAACTAGGATGGCAGAAGCTGGGACAAGTAACGGGAACTCATCCCATTACGCGGCACTAGGGATTCGAACTGCTGAACTGCCGACCTTTCGATCGACAAGCTCAGCGTCTTAGCCACTGAGCCACCACATCCCTTTGATATGATATTTATATATCTTATATATAGATAGATAGATAGGATTTCTGTCCCTTCGGCAACAGGATAGTGGCTGGCAAATTGGGGGAAGAAATGAAATGGAAGGATAGGCTCTGTTAGCCTTTAGTCAATAATTCCAAAAGTCACAGAAAGAATCATACATCCTGTAAGAGAGGAAGAGCATCAAGAGTTCTTTTCAAAACTTTCTCTGCTGGTGATCCTTGCAAGATAAAGATGTCTTGCAACCCATCTAGACAGCAGGCAAGGGAGTTAAACTTCTTCCTGGAAGCTTGGCAATCTTAATCTGTAAACGGCTCTGTTTCCCCTCCCTCCTTGAATGATGGAATCCTTTTTCCAGGGGAGATAGTTTACCAGACTGGCATCCCGTTCCTGTACCAGCTCCATACGCAACACCTGGCGCTGTGCCCGCTCTTCTTGCAAGTTGTTTTCAAGACGGAGAACCTCAGCACTCAGCTTCAGGATCTTATCTTTCTCGGCCTAACAAAACATAAATTTGAAAGGAAGGGTCAGTGCAGGATGAGATTACTCCCCCCCCTCCCCCATCTGCTCTATGGAAAGCTTATTAAAGTACTTGGCAAGGTTGGATTCTTCATGAAATATGCAGGGGTGGAAAAAACCCAAGGAAGTCTAGATGTTACTTAACGACAATAATGGTTCTCTACTACAGTTTTTAATTGGTTTTAATAAATTATGTAAACTCTGTAAATTTTGTTTTAATTGCATATGCTGCCCAGAGTCACGTGAAAGTCAGATGGGCAACTATATACATAGAAATTCAATAATTAAATAAACAAATATAAACCCACCAACTCCTCAGCAATGACTATGTTGACAGAGCTAGCAAAAGTTTTAGCTCAGGGACATCTAAAACCCTAAAGAGCAGCTAGGTTAAGAAGGAGTCACCTATAGATTTGTCCATTGATTTAGTTATCCCAGCAATTTTGTCCCTGTTTTAACAGAGTGTGGGAAAAGGAAGGAAGGAAGGAAGGAAGGAGCAAGGAAGAGAAGGAGGGAGGGAGGGAAGAAGGAAGGAAGGAGGGAGGGAGGGAGGCAGGGAGGAAGGAAGGAAGGAAGGAAGGAAGACCGCAAGGAGGATTCAACATAGTTAATACTGACAGAATAGTTCTTCACAAGATCGACACTATTGATAAAAGGGGTCCCACAGAGCAAACTAGATTGCTGAACATTTTTGTTTGTGGTCATACTGGAAAAAATTGACACATGTACAAAACTCAAACATAAAATGAGATTCCTTTTAATAGTTAAGTAAAACGCTTCAAATTTGAAACTTTCAAGGCAAATCATCCCAACTGGAGTTTGGAACAGCTACTAGACTTCAATGGATGGTTCAAAACTGTTTTGACCTTACCAGAAGTGTTTGAAATTCAAACTAGCCCCACTTTAATCTCAGAACGCCAATTCTATAGGATTGTTTTAAGTTCAGATCACTTTCAGAATGGTCGGAAGAACACTACAGTCAAAACACCCACCTTCAAATTCAAATATTCCAAATTCCTACACATAAAATCTGAAATGATGGAAACCTGTACCTTTTAACACATCCCTCTCAATTAGACTTTGCTTTATTTAGCTTATAGAAGATAATGTAGTGCAGCATACTAGGAAAAGTTTATCCCTTGCTAGAAACATTCCCTAGAAAGGAAATCTGGGGAAGCATCTAAATGCTTTAAAATACTGTGGGGTCCTTGGTGCTCTCTGAGCTTGGTTGTTTTCTTGCAGACTTTTCATTACCAAACTCGGTGATATCATCAGTACTAAGGATGTGCTAATGATGTTAGCTAGTTTGGTAATGAAACATCTGCAAGAAACAACCAAGCTCAGAGTGCACCAAGGACCCCCCAGTTCAACCCTGAGCTACAAATATTCTCTTTGATCTCTTTAAAATATAGAATAATTTCGTTCCAAATCCATATCATTCTTCTTCTTCTTCTTCTTCTTTTTTTTTGAAACTCCCAAACATTAAATCTCGGCATTCAACTACTTGGGGATTTTGTTCTTTCTGCAAGCACAACTAATTAAAAAAAATTCCCCAGAGCTTAATTTCAATCCAAAATAAAAGATCAATGATTGCATCAATGGATGTCAGGATCCTTTTGCTTTATTCCCTCTCTACTACAAAGAAAATAGGCAATGCAATGCTTATATGGATTGGGGAAGGTAGTATTATGTATAGTGCTGAAAATATTGGCCATGGGTGAAGGGGATCTGGTGTCGAAATTCCACTTGATTAGAGTAGAGTAGAGTAGAGTAGATGCCAAGTTTCGAGGTCGTCTCAAATAAATTGCATTTCAAACAAAGTCTTTGAAGAAAACTCCCATTTATTAAGCACGACATTCAAAGCCCGACTCATCGTAGCCAACACTGACTTCCAGACCCAAAACCCTCCCTTTCCGTTCTCCACTCCCCTGCACTCATTGGCCATCTTCCAAGTCACTCTACCCCTATCTACTGCTCCAACTCAAAGGAATTTCCCCCTCCCATCCCATCTCCTAGGGGATATTATCTCCAGGGAAAATAAGTAGGTGAAAAGTCAAACGTCCCTTTCCAGACGCCTCCGCTCCTCCTTCTTATGTCAGCACTAGAGTAAATGCAGCTTGAAGTGCTGACATCCGGCCCCTCCCCCTTCATTTTTCCAGGGTGGCCTGTGTAAGACAAACAACAAGTTAAGTACTGTTACCCCGTCCGGGGGTGTGTGTCCCGCCCCCTCCCGCTTTGCCCGGGTGATCTGCATGGAATTTGGCTATAAGGCGGTCAGCTTGGATGTTTCTGCTTTTCACCCAGGAAGCCTCTGACAAAGGGTAACCCTTCCACTTGATTAAGTATTGGAGGTGTCCCCTGTGCCACCTCGAATCGAGAATTCGCTGTACCTCATAGTGAGTGTGGCCATCAATAACCAGGGGCCCGGGGGGGTGTCACGTGGCACTGGCCTTAAAGTTGACCCCATCACAGTTTCAGGAGGCTACTGTGGAAAACAGGGTGTATCCTCCCTAGTAGTCGGGGCAGCTGCAGTTGTACTGTAACCGGGTTGATAAGTTTTACTGTAGGGAATGGTCCTATAAATTTCGGGCCCAGTTTCCTGCTCGGGAGTTTGAGTCTCAAATACTTGGTGGAGAGGTAGACCTTCTCTCCCACTCGGAATGGTCTTTGGGGAGTTCGATGCTTATCTGCTTGTTTCTTATAGGATTGTGCCGCCTTGGTCAATGCCTTCTTGACATTCTCCCAGGTTTCTTTCAACATTTCCATCCAATCGGTCAAACTGACTGAGGAAGGAGGCTCCCTTGGGTACTCTGGCATGGGGACGAAATCCATACCACTCACTACCTTAAATGGGGTTAGTCCTGTGCTACTGTGGACAGCATTATTATACGCGACCTCCGCAAAAGATAGGAGATCCGCCCAATTAGACTGTTGGTAGTTGACGTAGCACCTCAGGTATTGCTCTATCATGGCATTCAGTCTCTCCGCCCCCCCATTGGTGCTCGGGTGAAACGCTGAGCTGAGGCCTTGGGATGACCGTATGGACCGTAGGAATTCCCTCCAGAATTTTGCTGTGAACTGGACACCTTGATCGGAGATGATTCTTCTGGGTACTCCATGCAGGCGGTAGATGTGTTTCAGGAACAGTTTGGACAACTGGCGGGCTGAGGGTAGCCCGCTGCAGGGTATGAAATGTGCCTGTTTGGAGAATAAGTCTATTACAGTCCAGATCACTGTGTTTCCACCACTCCTCGGCAGTTCTACTATGAAGTCCATTGCAATCTCCTCCCATGGTCTTGTCAGTTCAGCTACTGGCTGCAGCAGCCCAGGAGGTCTTCCTGGTCTTTTTTTCATCGTGGCACAGATGGTACAACTTTTTACATAACTGTCTACGTCTTTTCTCATGTGGGGCCACCAAAACTGTCTTCGTACTAAGTGCAGAGTCTTTAGGAAGCAGAAATGCCCCGCTGGTTTAACGTCATGGCTCCTCTTGAGGACCAGGGTGCGTAGAGTCTCTGGGACATAAGAGTTTTGTCCCCTTCCATGCTAGGTCATCCCTTTTTGTCAAGAGATGTTGATTGTCTCGGAACGAGGGGTCCGCCAATGTCTCCGTTTTGAGTCTTGTCGTTAAGTCACTTGCTGATTGGTCATGGTGGTCGCGACGTTGCCGTCTGGTGACTACTTGACCTACTCCTTGGGCAGAGGGGATGATGGCATTCACTACCTGCTCCCGCTCACTGTTGTATTGGGGCATTCAGGAGAGGGCATCGGCCAGAAAGTTTTTCCCCTCTGGGATGTGCTTCAGCTCGAAGTTGAAACGATTGAAGTATTGGGCCCACCGGACTTGCCTGGGCGACAACTTCCATGGGGTCCTGAGGGCCTCCAGATTCTTATGGTCAGTCCAAACTTCGAACGGTCTCTGGCCTCCTAGCAGGTGTCGCCAGGTCAACAGCGCCCATCTCACTGCAAATGCTTCCTTTTCCCACACCGCCCATCGTCTTTCTGTGTCGGTGAGTTTGCGGGATGTGTAGGCACAAGGTTGTAGATTCCTTTGGCTGTTCTTTTGCAGTAGCACAGCCCCCACTGCCACATCGCTGGCATCTGCTTGGATGACGAAGGGTTGTTAGGGGTCAGGATGCTTTTAAGACCGGTTCTTTTGCAAACATTTCTTTTAGTGTTTCGAATGCCTGTTGGCAGGCCAGGTCCCACTGTAGAAGGTGTCCTGGGCGGGGTTTTGTTGCTGGATTCCCTGTTTTTAGGTGGTCCGTCAGAGGTTTGGCAATTCTTGCAAAAGAGGGGATGAATTGTCTGTAGAAGTTCGCAAACCCCAGGAAGCTTTGTAGTTGTCTGCGGGTGCAAGGGGGTTGCCAGTTTAGGACTGATAGTACTTTGGCTGGGTCCATTTCTATCCCCTCATTTGACACTCAGTAGCCTAAGTAGTCTAGCCGTGACTGGTGGAACTCGCATTTTGATAGCTTGACATATAGGTTCGCCCCCAGCAGTTTTTCCAGCACTTGGCGGACGAGGGGTATGTGTTTGTCTATGGTTTCTGTGAAAATGAGAATGTCATCTAGGTAGACGAGGACCCCCTTATAGAGGTGCTCATGTAGAACCTCATTTATCAATTGTGTTAGGATATGGTTTGAGCTAACAAGTTGTCCAGGTAATATATGTGTTCTGTAACTTTCATATGAATATGTATTGTGTGACTTTAAAGTTTTCCTGCTGATTCATTGTAATGCTGAGTCATACTGTAATTAGTTGTGAACGTATTTAAGAAAGGTACTGTAACGTATTCAGTTGATAAGCTACCATTGTGTGTGGAGTTGCAACCATTGTGCTATCATTGGTTGGATGGATCTGCTACCATCGTGATTTGTTACCAGAGTGAGTTTGTTATTCTAACCAACTACTGTTTGTGTGGTAAGAAGATTTTGTATCACTGGACTGATTTAACTGGCAAAGACTTGGATTGATTT